CCGCCACCGCCACGCGTGTATAGACGTTGCGCTGCGTACCCTAGCCCGCCGAAGCGGTACACGCTGGGCCCGCCGCAGCTTCACGTCGCCGCCGTCTGCAAGGAACGTCTGGACGTGACGTCACCGCCAGACGGATCAATACGCCACCCCGGGGTTCGATCGTCGTACACCCGTTATTATATCCCTGGCGCGCCGTGGCGTGTGCGTATACAGCGCGGGCTAAATGTTGCGTTTCATGGTGTACGCGCGCGCACGCCAGACCTTCGAGCGAACGTCTCTACCGACCACCGCGACTCTTACGCCGACGCCGATCGCGAGCTAATGCGCGCGACATGTTTCTAATACCTATGTATTATACCGTTTTATTATGTTATCGGTATTTTTTCGTTGGCCACGATAATAGCACACGTACATTCTAGCGTACACCGCGTAACGACCGCCGTTCTCAGAAATTCTTTCCGGGTCTGCTCGACGACGCACACCATCATCGCTCTGTACCACGTGTTTACGGAAGCTCCAGACACTCCGGTTCACACCCCGTGCGTCGATGGGGGTAGCGGAACGGCCGTCGTCTCGAACTTGTGTTGCTGTCGAACGCGCTTTTCGTCGGATTAATAACATTGGTCTTCGGGTTTACCGTTTTCCGTTCGTTCGCTTTTCGCAATCCTTTCCGTTTTCCGCTCACCTTCTACATGGTACTCGACTCACACCTAGCCGTGTGTGTGTGTGTGTGTGTGTGTGTAGTAATATTATGTGCCGCCTTCAAGACCACACCCCTTATTGATTCTACTGCTCGAAGTGCCGTTAAGCCAATTTTTCTCTCTTTAGTCGGGTTTGTGGTGATGCCACTGCCGCCGCAACCATCGTTTCACGTCAACGACAACGGTGTATTTCATCGAAATCGATTTTCTCGCTCGTACCACCGTCGTGTTTGACCTGTTTCCGATGAAGTGTTGGTAAAACATGGGATACAAATAGTAACTACTTATTTATATTTTTTATGAAAATTACGTTGCTCACGTCAATATATCGTTGTTATACTAACAAGATGCAATAATATATAGATTTAAAGCTGTTGTAGTTGAGCGTTTGTAAGTTGTTACAGTGTTAAGTGCAATATTGTCAGCAATACAAAAATTGTGTTGTTAAAAACGTATAATATTTGTTGTTTTGTATTGTTATACCATTGTGTATGTTTCGGAAATTGTGTATGCATTTGACGATCTTATCAGAAAGAAAAAATACCGATAAAATATACATAATATTATTCATAAAGATCGTTATCTAAAATTTAATATGTATAATATTATAATACGCCATCGCTCAATTTACTTCGTTCGTGTCCTTATCGAGCCATTTGTTCGTGTCGTTTGACACTTTCATCGAAAACGTTTTTTTCCCTGTATATCATTAAAATTGTGCGCCACAGGCATCAAAAACGAATGCAACAGTAAAACATGCACGTGTTATTTTTCATGTATTATTCTCCATATTATTTACCGGAACGTATTTATTTAGTTTAAAAAGGAAAATGCAAATGTTCGTAGTCGAAATTCATGGTACGGCTTATGTTGGTTGCGCGTATTGTATTTTATGTTGGAAATGAAATGAGATTAGTGGGAGGTCATACCGATACTTTTACCTTGACCATTAGCGTTCCATGTACGGGATTGTTGCATAATATGTATGAAGTATAAATTGCGGAATTGATGTGGAATGGGTTCGTGTAAAATTTTAAATAAATACCGTCTAACGAACAATTTTTAATATGCGATTACAAAGATGTTTTTTATGTACGATCAGTACTATAAACGAAGTCGGTTTGTATAAAACGATCTTGCACCGCGCTGCAGAGGAATATTGTTTATTGCGTTTTATTGCACGCGGAAAACGGTGTTCTCTTCTTTTAATTTTTCATAAACTATGGAATAATAAAAGCCACAGTAAAAAAGCCCGTCGTCTTCTTCAATTATTGCACTCTGGTATTATTGTATACCATAACGACTATTAACGATTCGATTCCGGTCCGACTACAATATAATAATTTTGTATAACTATCAGTTCGTAATCACTCAACCGAAAAAATAATAGCAGAAAATCTTATTATAATTATTATTATTTCTTTTATTGTAAGTAAAAATATAATAAAAATAATAATAATTATTAATAAAAATGCGTGTCATGTCTGATTAACTGTCGCTTCCATCACCAATACATTTTTATACAAAACTAAATTCATTTTAAGTCTGGTGTGGTGTTGCATATATCACGTTCAAGTGTACCTCGAGCATATATGCTAGTATACTAGAGATATCAGCAAAACTTAATATAAAATCTCTGACGTCGTCAAACCGAATTCGGTTCGCGGACGCGTCTTTTTTCGCACTTCTCACCGCCGCGTCCTATAGACGGAAGGTGCAATCGAAAAGATTGCCTATTGCCGTTTGTCCGTCCACCGTCCTGTTGTGTGTGAACGATCTTTGGAATATGATTGCATCGCACTAACGATAATAATTTGCATTTCACGTAGAGCACATATTATAATAACACGTTAGCTTATATCGTAACAAAATCACAGTCGTGCGGTATCCGATTGTCAGTTTAGCATGTATTCTGGTCGTGGTGACAAATGTTGGTGTAGAGGGTGACAGGGATAGTAATAAAAGCATTTGAGATATCGAAAAATTCGATACACCGACGGACTATGATAAAATTGTCTCAACTTGATGCGTATAAACACTATACGTACATTTATGGTGAAAAATATTACAACCATTGTTTTTTGTTTTTTGTTTTATAAAATTATCTTTTGTGCTCATGGTCGTTTGATTTTCTGCTTGCAGTTGATGGACCTAGTGCCCGTCTCGTGTACGGTACGTCCGTCTAGGGCCGAGACTCCGCCGCCGTCGCTGAAAAGGACCAAGCTGGAGGACGCGCCGGCGATGGCCACGGCCGCTTACTATTCCGCTATGAGCATGACGCCGGGGCTGCCCAACTACATGATGGACCCATTCCAGTATTTCTACAGTGCGTGGGTCCCGCCGCCGGCCACCATGTACCATTTGAACAGTCCTCACCATCACATGTACAACAGGAACGACAGGTACACCACCGTGTCACATTTACCGTAGCTGGGGTTTTCGTAACGATAGCCCATATGGGGGGGGGGGGGAGAAATAGGGATCCGGGCGCTTGGCAATTAATCTGGTTAAGTCGGCGACGCACCGATTGCTTCGATAAAAGTATTTTTCTCAAAACACACGCGCTTGAGAACAGCACTGCATTTACGCCATTTCGTGCGTGTATAAAAAAAAACCTATCTCGCCCAATTCGTACGCGATTTTCCAATCGAATTACCTTTTTCTGATTTTCCAGCTTGATCAAAAGAGAAAGACCTCCGCGGCTCGTGGACCCACAGAAAGTCATATCACATACGCAGTCCGAACAATTCGGTAGGAGTTTTCAACCGAACGTCGCGTTGGCGCCGCCGACGAAACATAACGGCAACGTCAGCGACGCAAACATCCTAGGTCACCATCACCACCATAACAACAACAACAACAACAACAACAACAGCAGCAGCAACAACAACAATAACAACATGCCCAAAATACCGATGGTAAGAACGATATTATGACAGCCGTGCGTATAGGCAGCACATCGTGCATGACCGTAAAGTTGTTTTTGACTTTTTTTTCTCTTTACTCACACCGCGCTTTCGACGATTGTGAATTACAGGTGAAATTCAAAGACAAGGACGATCACGGACAGGAACAAAAGGACACTATGCAAACCCAAGAGTCCGAAAGGAGGTACAACAGTGTCGGTGAGTTTATCCACAATCCTTTTTATTCGTTTTTCTCTCCATCCCTATTCTGTACATTGACCGTTGTCTTTTTTGCTATTTTTTTACAGCCGCTAGTGTGATGGAACAAGTGGCTGCGGTGTTGGACGCTTTGAGTGACGCCAAGGAGACGACACGGCAGCAAGTAATCGGATTAGTCGAGCGGATTGCCCTACGACTGGAAAAAGTCGAATCGAAAAATCAGCAACTTGTCCGAGAAAATGAACTGCTTAAAGACCAATTGAACTCGGTGAGTTGACCATGCGAAAAATCGTTAAACACAAATGCACTTCTATAATACTATAATAAAATATAATATCTCGCTTTCTCGTCGCATTCTATTTCCCCGTGTTTTTCCTCTCCATGTATGTGTGTTATTTTTTTTCAAATTTTAAACATTATCCATTTTATCGTTACAACTGTGTCAAAAATTCTTACGTTCTTACTTTTTATTGTCTATTGTTTTTGACATTTGATTGCTTTGCAGAAAAGGCATATGAACAAAAAAGATCCGTTGGTAGTTGAGGACTGTTCCATGATCAAACGGGAGGACAGAGGCAGTGGCATTGACGAAGAGCATTGTGGATCTAACAGTTTTCCGTTGACGAATAAGAGATGTAGTCCAGTTTCTGTCATAACTTCACCCTCTTGTCAGCCGAAATCACCTCCACCTCATACATTGCAGTCTGTTACCATGGCCGCCACTACTACTACCATTACAGCCACCTCAGTGTTGATCAAATCGGAATCCATCGACTGACTATCATAATTATCGCTTGTTGAATAATTATTATTATTTTATAATATAATATTGCTACCACCGACAATTGATCTCTCCCCTGAAAAAATCTAAAAGTAAAATAATAATAATATATATTATATATATATATATATATATATATATATATTTTAATCATACGAGCTTTATATAATACTTATTCAGTACGAATATATGTTTACAAAATATTATTATTATTATTATTATTATTATTACCTTTTACTATTGTGTATCAAACAATATTATTTTGTTGAATTCTCTTGTGTAAATACTCTAATTTAAATAATTGTTAATTTGATTTTCTTAATTTTCTGACAAATTTCTTTATTTTTTTCTTTTCTTTTCTTCTTTTTTGTTATGAATTTTTAGCGTAGGTTTATTTTTATTTATTTAAACTTTTTTTGTTATACATTTTAAATTATTTATGTTGAAATATGCTGTGCCAATTTTTTGTTTTGTTTCATTGATAAGTTAGACTTATTATATAAAGAGAAGAAAATAAATGTTCAAAGTTTTACTTTGAAAAAAAAATAATTATGCATTGTTAAGGAAGGAGCTTAATTTAAATACTTGGTTTTCCAATACGACTGGACATTTTTAATTCATGACATTTCTTTAAAACATTAAGATATTTTAACAATTGTACCTTCTCTAAATTATACCGATTTGTAAATTAACTTAATTATTTAAAAACAACACCATGTCGAGAAAATTAAATATAACACTTATTTAATAGTTTGGAAAAAATCAACATTCCTAGTTTTTTCCATAATATATTATAATTTGCATACATGTTACATATGATATCACACTAAATATTGATAATAATAATAATAATAATGAAAGAAGCAATTGCGTATAAAAAATTATTTATACATTTCCTAATAATTTTAGATTGATAGATAGACATTAATAACTTTACGACAAAGTAGAAATAAGTATTATGTTTTTTAAATGTATTAATGTATTTAATAAAAATTATTATTATAATTTAAACGAACAAGTATCCCCTTCCTTAGGCTAGAAAATAATTCAGTACAAATTAGTAAGTGCCTTAACTCAGCAATACCATACACTAACCTATACTTAAAATGAAAAAAAAAAATAATAATAAATATATTGTATAAGTACTGTTTAGTAAATTTATAATATTATGTTTGCATGTACTACAATAATTTTATTGTTTTTATACGCTTACAAAAAAAAAGAAAAAGAAAAAATGTCATTTTAGAAAACTTAAGTTTAACATTTCATTAAGAATGTTTGTTGATGTTGTGTGATTGATTCAGAAATGTTATTAATTTTAATTTTGAAGTATGCAAATTCATAATAATTATATTAACGATTTATATCAAGTGTAACAAACAAGTTGAAAGTATGTTGAACATATGTATTTAATTCTACCCATTACCCCATCACACTGATTAATTAAAAGTAATATAGTTCGTTACCATACACTTTTAATATGTACCTGATGCAAAAGCCAGATTTTAACTTTTATGTATTATACATATACTATGTATATATACACATGTATATACTAATATACCATATACGTATTTTTACATACAATTGAAAAATAATAAAAAAAAATCCTTAATTTTTAATTTTATTTATTTAAGAAAAACATTGAGTCTTCCTTAAAAGAAAAAAAACAATTTTACTAAACATATTATAAATTTGCAACCCTGCAAACAAATGTTTCACACTATTATTTTATTTCTTTTTATATTTCGTGCAATTTTAACAAAATAAAGTCTAAACACATAATTGATAAATTATAATATTTTTATTTATTAGATGTAACAGTTGTTGAATATTATTTGTATTGATCGAAATCATAAGATGGATGTAGTAGTTAATAACAAATTTTTATTCAACTTGACTGGAAATCAAAAACAACCATTGTGTTCATTAAAGTTTTCTCATTATTATTTAATATTAATTGATATAACTGTGTAATAATATTGATTTTGCAATTATAATGTTCTTATGTATATTTTATCGTTGATGTACAGACTTTTTTTTCTGTAGTTTTTGAAAGAGTTATTGATTTAATTCTGCTATGAAATGAAGTATTTAGTTGTTTCGTTTTTCATCAATATTATTATTATTTTTTTTTTCTTTTTGTAATGATGTTAAGTTTTTTTAAGTAACTTATATTAGGTAGTTTTTACTTGTGCCAAGCTTTGTTAGCACTTTTTAAGCAAAATCGAGTCATTATGTAATATTTTTTTTTTTTGTACATATTTACCTGTGTTCAATACATTGTATAACATATTATACTTGATATGATTTATATTGCATATTATGCATAATGTATTGAAATAGGTTTTAATATATATTTATTATTTTTTGTGTAATGGTATTAATTTAAAAGAAAAAACAACCATTTTGTTTATGAACTTTTTTTTTTTTGAAAAAAAAGAAAAGAAAAATGAAAAAAAGAATTAAAATAAAAGAATATTATATTAATAATTATAATTGTGTTTCTTTATTACACAAAAATGTACTATATAGGATTGTATATAATGAATGCTCTTTTTGACCCATATGTAGTGGCAGATTAGTGAAATATGGATCAAAGTGGTCCATGCATCGCAAATGTCATTTCCCCCCTCCTCTATAATTTTTGCTTAAATTTCAAAATTTGTTTAGTTTTACCTCTAAATTTGTAAAATATACAATATCTATAATTATAACAATTTTTGGTAAATCAGGCAAGGTCAACCTGTTCTAACTCGAACTTGAAATTTAATTTTATTACATTTTTAAGTATATACAGAAGATATCCTTAGATATTTTGTTCAATTTAAACATTCATTTAATGTTCTAATCCTTTTATATGAATATTAAATACATTTTATTATTTATCTAAAATTGTATTCATCACCACTTCAATACACATATTAAATTAATAGATGATGATTGGACGAGTAACCTTAGGTTAAAGTATAACTTAAGTGTTAGAAAACTAGAAACCACTTCTGTTGGTCGAATTATGGCATTCAATAAAATAAATGTTGGTTTATTTTTGTCAGACCAAAAGAAATTAAACTTGAAAAACATTTTAACGCCAACCATATATTTAATGTAGATGAATCTATTATTTCTGCGTGCTAAATAAGCTACCAAAAGTTATTTTTCCAACTGGTGCACGAAGAGACTCGAAAATTGTAAAATCTGCAAAACGTAGAAAAATATCACTGTTTTTCTAGTAATAAATGTTACATGTGTTACCACACTTTCCAATATTTTTACGAAAATGTCTGATTGAACAGCTAGTAGTTGATAAAGTTGATCTTGGTCTTGTTGCAAGACTATGAACGGAAAGCTTATACCTGAACCAAGATGGAAAAATAAACATATATTCTTGAAATCCCATCAAAACTACCATATTTGCCGGTGGAAATGAGACTGGTTTCCAAACATCGACCTAGGGTCAAATGCCAAGTATAAAGATAACAAACTCACCAGTCAAATCCGAAAAAATGAAAGAGCAACAAACAATTATAAATGAACAAAAAAAAAAAAAGAAAAAAAAGAACGTCTAGAGAAAAGAAAACTAAACCAGCTATCAAAAAAATAATAATATAAAGAATGAAAAACGCAAATTTTACCATCTTTAATAGAATTAATTGAAAATTTTCCATATGTGAAATACCGACAATGAAGATTCTGGTAATTATGAAGAATGTATTTTTTGTCAAGAGCTCTACAGTTATAATGTAAAAGGTGAAACTTGAATAAAGCCGGGTTCCCACGGCGCGTGGCTCGTGGCTCGGCGCGTGGCTTGGTATTGCGCGGTACTGTTCACGAGCCGTGGGATCGGTGTTGCTCGGCGCGGCTCGTATATGATCGGCGCGGCTCGTGTCTATCCGAAAATTGTCGGTTTTTGGTACCCGAGTCAAAGGAATCCACGGCTCGTGTGTATTGAACGACTATCTTCCACGCCGCGGGATCGTGTAGGACGCGCCTAGACAGGCGCGCGTGGTACAAGTCGAATAACGCGCCTCGCGCCGCGCCACGCGCCGTGGGATCCCGCCTTAAGATTTATGCAAGTTGGGCTCACAAACTGTGTGGACGAGTTGAATGTTGGAAAACGTTTACATACGAGTTTTACAGAAAATATAAAAAATATATATAAGATGATTTTTATATAATTTTATTATTTTGTTCGATTTTTAGTCTATTAAAGTTTACCTATCAAACTATAGAACAAAAATAATTATGTAACTAAGAAATTTTCAAAGACTGAAAGTTAAAATAAAGTTTTTAAGTATGAAAAGGACTGAGTAGTAATGATTTTTCGGGACATCATAGATAGTTTTTTAAAGTCCCACTGACTGTTATTTTAACCTCGAAATATTCTTAAATGTGTTTTTATATATAACATATAGTACATAGAAGTATATATAGTATATAGAAAATATTATATATGTCTTATGATTGATCAATATTAAGCATTAAAACCAACTGATGGTTAGTTGTCTGATGATCGAACTGTAATTATGATAACTTCAAACAAATAGATCCATTTGTATAAGACTCGTGTACGTGCAGTGTAGCTAATAGTTTGTGTTCATGTTTAAAACATCGCGGGAATAGATGTCGTAAGCCGACAAACGAAACGGATCTCTGAAAAAGGCAAAGGCATATTAGGTAAATCCATTATTTTTCAAATGGTAAAATGAGAGACAACGAAAACGTGATGAGGGAAGATACTTATCATAAGTAGAATAAATACATATCTGCTGAATAGTTCGATTAGGTTGGAACTAAATTCTTTTGATGAATTCCACATAGATTACGTAGCTAGTATTAAAGTGTCAGTTGGATCCAGCAGTCTTCCACACTTCGTGTTTAGGGGTTTGTGCGGAATTGAACAGGAATTTGAAGAGTCTGCAAAAACTTACAATCATTTACGCTGAATGCATGCTTTCTAAATGCTTTGAGGGGTGTCAACAGTATGTAAAGCCGACGCGACTCAGCTATTATTGCTTCAAAGAATTAGAGATATGGCAGTCAAAAAAAGAAGTAATATGATCAAATAAAAAACTTGACTATTTCAAAAAAACAATAGTTGTTAATTATTTAGCTG